TGATAACGTAGCAAGAGCATTCATAATGGCATCCTCCTTGGACTCCGAACTTTCAGTCATACTAATATCTTGACCTCCGGCCATTCTAAGAGAAAAAAAGAAATGAATCTACAAAAAGGTAGTATTGGTTTAGAGGAGGGTACTCCGCAACCTCTAAAAAGCCTTAAAACCTTCAAGAAGAGGGATAATCCACTCTCTCCAAGAAAGATAAGACTCCAATATTATAATAGAAGAAATATCAATTTAGATGAGAGTAATCTACAACTTGTAAAATACCAGCACCTTCAAGGAGAGGGATAATCTACACTCAAACAAGAAGGAATTAGCTCTGATATGAAAGATGAGTGTAGTCTCGACAAATTATCATGAATTTAGAATACTGACTGGAAATCTAAAAAGAAGCTCAAGAAGAATTAGAAAGAATTAGATTAATCAGATGAATAAAAGAACAATACTAGAGAGGTGAGCTAGAGCTCCAAGAGGTGTGTTGTCAAGACTGAGGATCCCCTCAGTCTTCGCTACTATATATACTACAAGCTAGAAAGCTTCTCAAGTAGCTTCTACAAACTACAAAGCTTCTCTAGAACCTTCTAGCATCTTCTACAACCTCTTAGTATATGTCCTTGAAAACAACACCAAAATAGGTTAGAATATCTCATACATCGGTGTGGATATGACATTTATGAATGCACATGGGAGCTATTTAGAAATCTAGCAAATGCATCAACCAAAGTTAAAGCTTTTCATCAACATCTATCAAAACTAAGATAAAGAGTCAAGAAATTCTTTCCTATAAAGCAAAGCAAGCCCAATGGAGATTTTATTCTATCTTGTATCATTATTTCTTTGATTTTTTTAATACTTGGAAGATAGAGAACGAACAACCAGAAGATTCAATTCAAGAGTTATCATTTGCTGAGCTACCAAACAAAATATTGTGACTATCACAACCTTCAAGATGGCAAAATCAAGATGAAGACCCTCAAGAACAACATATTTTTCTTCGAATAGATGCAAGATACAATGCATTTGGTACCACGATTTTGGAAGGAACTCCTGATGTTTAGTGATACTTTTAGAAGTAAGAACCACTCTTGATGGAATTACTAATGTTTTGTTTGAAGGAAGTAATGAAGGCCTCAATAATGATCAAATATCACGGTAGTCTTCTTGCCCTGGTATGGGATATTATCGATGATTGAAGGGACCTATCAACTACCTTCAAAGGAAACGAAGATCAAAGTTTGTGGCAAATACAGTTCAGCACATCTTGGACTTCATCAACATGTAATCACAGCTCCTCGTAGAACTCATCTCTAAAAGAGGAAATAATGTCATAGACATACATATTTATCTTGATAATTATCTACATAATAGGAATAGGTAGAACTAAGTCAAAATAGATAAATATGATAATATCTTATAAAAAGCTTTCTTAGAAGCATCATAGACATTGCTTTGCCTTTATACATGTCTATAGGTGATTGATAGGTTGAAAACTTAATCAACAAGGAGGCCACATGTCGACATGTTGACTACTTGTAATACAAGTTGGACATATGGCACATACCTAGGAAACTTGCCTTACAAATTAAACAAGTGTCTTCCAAGTTGGATGGGTATTAGAGGTCTTATAGCATGTTGACTACTTGTAGTACAAGTTGGACATATGGCACATACCTAGGAAACTTGTCTTACAAATTAAACAAGTGTCTTCCAAGTTGGATGGCTATTAGAGGTCTTATAGCATGTTGCCACATATTTCTTAGTTAAGTAGTATATATAGAGGCAAGAGTGAGGCCTTCCTTACTCTTGTCAATTCTTTTTTTGGTTTTTAGTCTACTTTCAAGAGTCTCACGTTTTCTAATCTTTGGCAATAGCCATTTTAATTCTTCCTTGAAAATACATACTTTCTTCTATTTTGTCATTTTTTTTTTGACATAGATTCTATGACTTTATGCATCTTCTTCTAGTTTGTGTCCTTGACACTTTTAGAATAAATTAACTATGTGGTATCCATATAGAAAACTTACCTTATAAATTAAGATACATATTGTGCAAAGAAAACACATTATGGAGGTTCTATAGAATGTCACTACGTAGCTCCTAAGTAAATAGTATATATAGAGGCAAGAGTGAAGCTTTCTTTACTCTTATTAATTCCTTTCTTGATTCTACTCTAGTTTCAAGAAGTCTCTAGTTTTTTTGTTTTTTGGCGATAGCCATTCTAATTTCTTTTTAATATACATACTTCTTTATTTCTTTTTTATTATACTTCTTTGAAAAAGTCTCAATTTTTTATTTCTTTCCATCAGGTTCTTGTCCTTGACACTCCTTCTACCCTTATATGTCATTTTTTTTTAACAATATAGGCATTCCTTTATTTTCTTTCATTGAATGCTTAAGTATATTACCTTAATTGAATTACAATCTATGTAACTAGAGAAGTATATTTAAGATTGTGAATCTACAAGGCAAGTAACCTAAGTGAAGAATCAATTAGTAAACTAGCAAATAATTAATTAGGAATTTTTTTAAAAAAAGTAGTAAAAAGAATCCTATAAAGGTTTGCATTAAATTTTTTGGATTTTAATTTTACTTGAAATCATATTGGATTTAAATTAATACTACAAAATTCTAAATTAAAATCTTAATTTTTCTTTTCAAGCAAAAAAAATACTTTGTTATTATGAGGCTACAAGTTTTTAGCCATACTATTGAGTCATGGAGAGATTGAATTGTGTTATCTAACATTATGACACTATAATCATCCATTATATTTTATCTAGATTCAAAGGAATAATCTATAATTTTTCATTACACTTAGTCATACCATCTACCCATAATCTATTATTTTTTAGAGTCAAAGATATATATTTTGACAACAAGTCTTTACAATTAGTTGATGCATATAAATTAATAAATATATTACAATTTTTTTGATAAAATTTAACTTTTCTATATAGATAAATTAGCCAATTATTGAGTTATTTTTTTTACATAAATATTAATATTGTAGTCTAAAATAGATGATGTAGGTGACATAAAAAAAATTATTATCTCAAAAAAAAATAGATATTATTTACTATTTAAATTATAATTAATAAACTATATATTTTTATTGCAATTCTTTAATTATATTAACATCTAAAATATGGACTTAAATTCTAAGGGAATCTATAATTAAGATTGTAATAATTTATTTGATAGCTATCTTTTTGTAACATATTATTATGAAATCTTTGGATTCCATATCTATAGCCTCTTTTTTATTAGAAATGGAATCAAATGTCTTACTTCATAATACCAAAAGTGCCATTGTTAAAAACCTGATATTTAATACATTAAAATTTATTTTTAGAACTATTTTTTTGGATTTAATTTAATGTAAAGTCTTATATTTTGATAAAACTTTACAATCTTTAACATAATCTTTAATTTATAAATACTTTTTTTTTTTATTAAAAAAATCATATCATTAACTAAAATTAATTTTTAAATTTTTGTGATAAGATTTTTTATCATGAATTTTATATTCTAATCCACTTATGAATATTTTTCTATATAAAATATTAAATTAGAAGAAAAATCATTATCTAGGCCATGTTTTGAGATTTTTCTAAGTCCCTCCATAATTTTTGGAGCAAACTTTTGGAACTCATATAGAATTTGCCTCAACAAAATATAAGTAGAAATCTTGAAAGAATCAAAATATGTAAACCTTTGAAATATTAAATATTCCAAATATCAAAGTTTGGATTGCAAAATACTAAAGTACAAAAACAAAGGTTAAAACAATAGGAAGGTTGAATCAAAATCCATCTTCCAACTATTTCAAAGAAATTATTACAATCAAATAATTCAATTCTAAGTTCTATTTGAATAATATAATTTCTTTTTCTTTCTCTTCATGATCTTTCTTCAAAATTACGAGGCTAGAATCTTCCATTATTATTTTTATTTTTTATTTTTTTTCACAAAACAAGTGGTTGTTGTGGCTTAGGTGGACCACTTTTTTTTGTCATCAACTGTGCACTCATTATAGTTTTATAGAATATAGTACAAATTAGAAGTGCGACAAAATTCTTAGAAAATTTGAGTATTATGAACTCACTTGAGGTTAGTTTTGTCAAGTAATGGCAATGTTAGAAGCAATGAAGGTCAAAGGTAGCTATTGCCTTGTATTCTTTTATTGTATCTATTAGAAGACATAATTAGAGTTATGTTCTTGTTGTTATTTTCTTGCACAATTTTGATTATTCTTTTCTATAATTTAGCACATTCAATGTGTCTATATCTTCATTGCACATTCTACTAAAATAGATCCTAATTAAAAGAAAAAAAAATAATAAAAAAAAAAACATACTTCTTAGCTAATTTGAGTACTTAAATTAAGCACAAGAATTTTGATTTTAACCTCTACAATGTGGCCATAGTTGCATCCGTTAGACTACATCAATACTCAAGCACCAAACTCTAATGTTGTAGTTTTGTTATTCAACTGCATATTATTTTAAGTTTTATTTTTAATTAATATAATATATATATATATTTTTAAAAAATTACTATTAGTTATACTTAAAAATTAGTAATATTTATTAATATATGTTTTAAATTTATGGATTTTTTTAAGACTTTATATATTTATATTATTTTAATTCTATAGAAAGACCCCATAGTATGCACAAACAAACACATTGTTATTTCAATAAGGATGTTAAGGTTTAAAATTGATATTTCATCAAAGGAATTTCTTAAATTCTTCAAAAAAAAACTTGGAAAATTGATGTAACTACGTTTTTCCATATTAATAATGTTGTGATGACAAACTAAGGCTAGCAGATCTAGAAAAAGATATGTAATTGACGCGGTGACGGGTGCCAAGACGGTCACCGCGGTCGAAGGTGGACTGGGGGGGAGCGGTAATAGAAACTCTGGCGCGGGCACAGGTTATATCCCTATAAGCACGGGACTGAATCTCTCCCTTATCCTGCCCAGCTATGGCGTTGAAGCAAGCTTGCAAGCTGCGCAAGGCAGTGAGTGAGTTCTTCACGAAATTTTCACGCCATGGCGACGATGCCTTCTGCTGCGGTGATGTCGGTAGCGGTCCTCCCTTGTGTCGCTGCCCGGTTTCAAAAAACTCGACAGAAATTTGTTGTTCATGCTGCCGGGGGACCAGTGAATCTGCCGCAATCGGTGATTAGGAGCTCAGGTGTTTTCTATTGTGCTCCATGATGACTTGGTGTGTTTCGCAAGGTTGTCCCCTGTCTTTCGTCTTTGCGAGAAGATTTTCTAGTTGCTAAGAATTGTGAGGGTTTCGAGGAGTTTATTGTGACTGAATGTTTCGGATGAGACTTGCATTTGCTGCAATTTGGTTTGTGAGGAGCTGAACCTCATGGTGATCAGGTTAGCAGATGCGGAGGTGGAGAATGTGCTGACACGTCGAGTGTTTGTATGGAGCGGAGCCGGAGCTGCGGCTGGATTTGCTCTTGGAATGAACAATGCCGCGTTGGCTGATGTGAAACTGACCTTGTCGAACATTGAGGCGGCCCCTGTTCCATGTCCAAGTAAGTGTTACTGTTCAAATTTAGAAGCTTCTTCTACGTGCAATAGAGAATACTCTGTCTGTGACAGCAAGTAGACAGAAAAGGAAATCGTGTCCATAGTCCAAATCTCTATTGCTCAGGGATTTGTTTCTCGTGCTCTACTAGTACATTCAATGTTCAGATCTACCAAGCATTGCTCATTCACTGCTTGGTAGGATGGTGTATTGGAGCGTTTACTGAAGATCGACACATGATGTGCAAATTTAACATCTATTGCGACCCCGGCCTCTGTTATCTAGGCTTGCTGGTGAGCCAGCGTTCTGGGACACTAGTGTAAACAATTTACACTGATGTTTGGATTGCTGACTGGATTGTCCTCAGGCGGCCAGACAACGGTAACGGGAGGAACTTCATTCAGCGTTCGATGTTTCAAAGTGACTGGCGACGTGAAAAACCCTACCAAGCAATCAGTCTATAATGCAGTAAGCAAGTGGTTGCAGTCTGGCTTTTATTTTAGATTTTAATTTACTTGTGGGGATGACCTTGGAATTCGCTGCAAGGTTTTGCATCAACGAGAGGCGGGGGTTTTTTCGTGTGCAGGATATATTCGGCAGAGTTTATGACGCACAAGGAGAACCTGCGTTGGATGCCGTAAGTCCTTACAGTTTCGACATTCATCGTTGAATTTGTAGCAAGAAAGTTTACAGTATGTGCCATGTCAATTCTTAACTGTGCTCAATGTTGAATAATTGTGCTCAATATTGCGGTGACAGGAAGAGAATTTGCGTATAGATACCCTAGCTGAGGTTCCTCCAGGGATTTCAAAGGTGGGGATCTAATCATTACTGATATTGTTTTTCTTTTTAGGTTTTTCTTCCCAGTTTTTAGCTTATCTTCTTTCTTAATCCTCACTACACATTAAACAATCCAAGTAAATGATTTTGCGATCATCAATGAATGCAGGTGAGCTTTCAGATTTCAGTGAGCGAGAGCCAAGCAAAATTAGGTCCATTGCAACTGAAAAATTTCAAGGCTACGGGTTACCTTGGAAAGGTTAATAATAGACAGGTAACCGCTCCAAAAGAAACTTTTTTTCTCGAAGACTGCTTGAAATTCATCCAGTGGCACAAATTCCTTCTTAAATTGTTTGCTTGTTCAAATCATCTTGAGGATCTTTGAAGACCACTTATCATCCCTTAACCTGATAATTAGTAGTCATTGGACAATTTGTCAGTTGAACGATTGCTTTTCCTCTTTTCAAGAGTAACTGAATTCCTTTTTGCTCTCGCCGCAGGGTTCAGGGCGGATTGACGATATAGATTTTAGTGAACTCGACGAAGACTATGTGCCTTAAGCTCAAGAACTGTTAGTTATCATGGAGCGGTCCAAAAGATCCGTGCATTAGTCTGATGTAAGGTGCACTTGACCATCACTTGAAGCTTTTAAAAGTTTGCGATGTGCTTCTAATATCATGTCAAAGCTACTGGTGAGGTGCGAAGAAACGTTGCTCAACTGTCGTTCGAAAGATGATTTGATTGTGAAGTTTACAGTTGACTTGAAAAATTCCTTCAAAATTGTTTACCGTCAAACGTAAGGTTTATTTTCAAGAAATTGAAGTGATAGAGCTAAAAATGAATACTTCTCGTGTTTCTGAGTAGTATTCCCAGAATCCCAGACAAAAGATCTCTCCTGAATGAGGTAAAAATCCTAGCATTAAATCTTCGGCATAACTTTGCATCGAGCTGTAGGAGGTTGCACCAAGCATGACCATCTGTAAGGGTTTATTCGAAGATCAGTAGTCCAAATCCAGTTAGATTTAGAGTACACAAAAGCTGTCTAGAAACTATGACCTACCACTAATTCTACTCATGAAAGTTGTAGTTTGAATTCCTACACAACGATTTAGAGAGTGTTTTTTCATATAGATAATTCAATGATAAAGAACTAGGAATTATCAGTTTATTTGTCCCTAGATAGTTAAATGCTTTTGTTTTTGAATGAAATGCCCCAGATTATAAACCTCTTTCGTTGTAAAGAATATTTTATCTACTTCACCTCACCCTGACCTTTAATTGTGGCTCTACCCAGGTGGTAGGAGCCTACTTGAAACAAAATGTAACAATAAAATATCAACATTATAGCCAAGTTTGATTTATTAGCTACTGAGATACAGAAAAAGTCAAAAAGTTTGTGCATGAGTTTTCTTTATACATCTTGCGTCTTCATAAAAAACCTACCAATTAGCTGTGTCACAATGTGATATTTTTGAGTATTATTATTATTATTATTATTATTATTATTATTATCAATTTAAGTTAAACATACATGTAAAAAACATGTTCTATTTATTTATTTATTTTGATATGAGATGATCGTTATCCTCAATCCAATCCTTGCGTTAGTAAAAGCATTCGAAGTCTTGAGACAAATGTGATTTTCTACATGGCCTTGAAATCTGCCAAAATATCAAGAATACCCATGTATTCTTGATAATATCAAATCTACCCCTGCCTTTTGTGATAGTCGCAGAATTAACTTAATAACCCATCCATTTCTTGTTTTTTTATTTTTATTCTTTTTATTTTATAGTTTGAACTGGGGCCCTACCAAGGAGCACCAGTGCTCTTAAAAATCTAAGCAAAGCCCCCACGAGAGACCCAGCAGTACCCTGCTACTCGGTCATCTGATCGACACGAAGCTGGATCTTCAGAAAACACCTCAGCAATCTCGCACTCAGATTTCTGTGCTGTTTGCCCGTTTCAGCATGTATTCTGTATGCACTTCTGCAAACAAGGGCTGGTTGGGATAATTCTGAAGCTGTCTCCACACTTCCGCGTAATCCTTCATCTCGCTAACCACACACATTCACCTGATTTAATCCCTTTAATTACAGCTTCCCCAATTCAACGACCTGGAGACGTCCATTGAAATGAGTCAATTGAGGGTTCTCAAAAAAGCGTTGCCAAACCATTCACAACCAGAAGACGAGCACAATGTTAAATGCGATATGAACCGATTTAAGATGTTCTAGCAGACATAGACAGAAGATAACAGTAACATGCGGAGATGGGAACTACTGTGCAGCAACAATCATCAAGCATGAAAACATTATTCAAATTTCTACTCACTAAAAATTGTTTTTGATTTATAATTTTTTTTAATAAAATTTGAAGTAGGTCTAGCACAATGAGATGAAAGCTAAAACAATGAAATTAATTTAATTTATATTATATAGTAATAAAGAGCACATGTAGAAAATATTTAATAATAATAAAAAGTAAAAAAAAAGAAATAAATTGAAAATTTATTTATACATTTTTGTAATATTGTTTGTTTCTTTGAAAATATTTGATTTAGGATGAACAAATTAAATAATGTAAACAACTTATTCTTCAAAATTCTATTTATTAAGACTAAAATCTATGCAAATTGATACAACTCAATTTAAACAATTAACACTAAAAAAATTCAAAAACATTTAAAATAAATTTTGTTTATATTATAGAAAATAAGATCATATAGTATTAGGTTGTTCCGTCAAATTAGATGGATTCAAGTAAATGATCACGTATTCAAATATAAAAAAGTTTGTAAAGACAAACAACTATTTGGAATATGTTCCTTATAATTGGATAATTTTAGATTACAACCATCAAATACATGCTTTATGCTACTGCTAAGTTCCATACTTAATTTTAAACTCCTTTTATTTGTTAAAATTTTAAGGTATGGATTTTTAACTTAAATACAGTTTTTTTTATCAACCACCTATTCCAAAGAAATTATAATTATTTATGTCAATAGAAATATTGAAGATCTTCTAATTTCAAATTCTTATAACTATATTATTATGATAGTGGATTGACTAATCAAAATGGTATATTTTGTACCTTATATAAAAATCATAAAGAAATTATTGATTTTTTTTTCATAATATCTATTAATATCATATAAAGTAATGAAAATACATCTAAAAGATGCTAAAGAATAATATAAAGCTAATGTGGACATTCTTAAAAAACAACATCTTATATTTAAATTTGGTAATAAGATAAGATTACTTTTTTATAATATTAATTCTAGTTGACTTTGTTAAAAGTTAGCTTATCAAAGACTTGATCCATTTATTATTTAAAAATAAATAAATAAAGTTGTATACTTATTGTAATTACCAAATTCAATTAAGGTCCATCTTATAATCTACACATTTCTAATTTAGCCTCATACTACAATCAATATATTGGAAAGAAAATAAATACCACCACTTTTTATTGATAGAAATAATTGCTAAGAATTTGAAGTTGAAGAAGTCATGGATTTAAGGAAGTGTTAATATAATTAAAATTTCTTGTATGTTAATACAAACATAATATTAGTAAAAACATATGGAAGCCATCTACAAATCTTGTAAATGTATAAGAGCTTGTTATTTTTGTTTTTCATTGACGTGATCTATAAAAAAGAAAAGACAAACTATTGACAACATAATGATGTAAATGAAGGAGCAATAAGTTCAAAAATCAACTTATAGAACTTCATTGCAATATTGAAAATTGATAGCAATTAAATTTATCTTAGAACTTGTTATTTGCAAAATTGTCTAATGATTCACTTTTATTGTCTTAACTTTGATAACATTAAAATTTTGTTTAATACACTTAAGAGAGATATGTTTTTATTTGAAAAATAAAAATATTGAATGTGTTTAGTACCACAATCTCAGAAGAGACTCTTAATATTTAGTAATGCTACTAAAAGTAGGTGCTATACATAATAGAATGCAAAATATCTTCATTGAAGATAGTAATAAAGATATTAATAATGATCAAATAATATGATGGTCTTCTCACCTTATTATGGGATATTATTGATGATTGAAAGAACCTATCAACCATTTATTTATAGAACATATATCATATTTTATTGCTAATATGATTTGACTAATGTTGGACTTTATTAATTTATAAAAAAATTTGATTCTTTTTTTGTAAAACTTAGAAGAGGAGATAATTTAATGGATGCTTAAATTACTTAAATATATAGACATAATAAGAAGTATATAGATACATGTTGAAAAAAAAAATGTCTTCTTTAAAAAGCTTTGATTTTTTTATTTTTTTATTTTTTTTATATGTAGATTAGATATTTAGGCTTTGGTAGATATATTACATGACTGTTAAAACTTATCCTATAAATTTTCTATTTTTAGAAACTTATATTAGAAGCAACCTACATCTTAATGCTTAAGCTAAAAGTCTTGTAATTTTTAAAAAGCTATAATAAGACTTTTTTTTTTATAGATAATGTATATTTTTATTTTTTATTATTTTTTAAAAAAATTATTTTTATTAAATTTAAGTATTTATTTAATACTTCTTTTTATATTTTTACCATTTAATTTATAATATAAATTATTTTTAAGAACATTTTTTATAAGTATTTTTAATTTATATTATATCTTATGAAATTTATTCAATTAATTTTAAAATATTTATTATAAAGTTATATAATTTAAAAATACCTGATGAAAATTTTAAAAATTATATTTATATAAATTAATTTAATTTATTAAGTATTATATTAAAAAATATAGAATAAAAATATATATATATATATATATATTAATTAAATATTTATTTTTAGCATATTTAAAAGAATTATATCATAAAAAATATATAAAATTAAATTAAATAAAAAATAATATTAAACAGATCTATGTTTTTATTAAATAGACCCATTCTTGATAAAGAATTATAATGAATGTGGTTAAAAGGTGTAGTGCCTAGGTGTATGTAATATAATAGCATGGATCATTCAAGCAAGGAATGTGAAGATTTTACATAGGCATTATACAAAAGAGTTATTTTTTTTAAAGATGATATGATACACTTAAAAAAAGTACAAAAAAATTAAAGACAAATTTTGGTAAATGAGGAATGGAGATGTTTGTAAGAAATGCTTTTGAAGTACATATAGTTTCAAGTAATGAAGCGTCAATATATTAGATAGAAGCAAATTCTAAAAACATTTTAAGCATAAAACTTGAATTTATAGAAGAATTTAGTTCTTTGTGGTTAAGCGTAATGAATTATGTTGAAAAGGAAAATTTTACTAGAGATGATTTGAAACGTATTGGCAATAATATTTAAAAAATTACTAGGTGGAATGATATTGTAGATCGATTATTAGTTCATATTTATATTATAAGAAGTCAACACGAAGTATTAATAGAAGAAAAACAAAGGAAAAATAAAAATAATGAATTGTTATTAAAAAGAACTACAAGGAGAGAAAAATCACGACAATAAAAGAATCCTATGCATGAAGAGAAAAAATAGAATATTTCTACAAAGGAAAGAAAAATTATAAAAAAGAAGAAGCAAAGTCTCTTACTTATAAATTATAATCAGACATTGAAACTTCTACAGATTTGAAGAAGATATTAGAAGAATAGATTTTAGATGGAAAGATAAAATTTATAATTGATAAAATTCTACGGGTTGCAAAGCATGAATTTCATAAAATTATTATTGACATAATAAAGAAAATAAGATAATCTATAAGAGATATTATGACATCAAATGTACCAAGAGCAAAAACAATGAGAAGTAGTATAGATGAAGAGGATGAAATGAATTTTTTTGGAGATGTTTTACGAGTTGGATTTACAAAAGATGATGAGATTCAAGCCTCTAGTTATTATTCTTGAAATCATTAAGGAAGGGCTACCACAAAAACTTTAATCAAATTGAAATAGTTAGAAGATTCAATTGTAACATTAATTGATGATGGTCTAAAATCCATTTGATATCAAAAGAGTTATATAAAAAAAAAAAATGTCCTATTGATACCAAACATAGGTAGATGATAAAATCAACAAATAATTTAAAGAGAGATTTATATGGAGCTTGCTCAAATATTAAAGTAATGACAGAAGATGTTTTTCATAAATAAATTTTTTTTGTATAATATATGTGAAATGAGATTAGACTATTTCAAAAATCTAAGACTTTTATAATCC